TCTTTCGCGTCAGACTTCATATGCCATATCAGGCGAGAACAAGAACAAATGCGCACCCGGGGGGCCACTTCCTACACACGGAACGGAAGGTCCGCGGTAGTCTGGTATGGGGGTCGGGGTGTTCGGCACTGGGGGGTGTGGGGGGGGTGCCTAGCGTGCATGAGTCTACGCGCTGGAGGTGCGGACCGTGGGGACTCCTGGGGGGCGATAGTACATAGAAGATGATAAGTCACTACAGAAGTGACTAAAAAGTATGCGCAGTTGAGCAGCAATTTGAGAGTTATGGGATGTGCTTGCAGCCATCTCTAGTACAGGAACCTGTTGTGCCTCCCACAAGTAAAATTAATAAACATTTAGGTTGAATAATTTATTATTTGTATAATCTAGCATTTACTCTGACAGGGAGAAGCGGGAAAGGAAGTTGTTCAGCACCAACCGTCCTAGGGGATGACATGGACGATGCTAGTCCATGTCTGCTATACGTTTTAGATGGTACTGAAGGATTGTTGGTGTATCCTCGCTACAATGTTTCAGGTCAGCGACTCTGTTTCATGGTATGAAGCTATCAGAGGATTAGGTAAGCCTCAGTAAACGACATTACATAATCCGACGCCTCAATTCCTCTGCCCCCAGATGAGATTTTCATTGTGGCATAAAAAAGCCAATTCCAGTCCTTTTTCGCTTGGCCTAAACACTGATTGGTTCGATTTATGACCCCCTGGTATGGACTTCTACTTTATACGTTCTCACTTTAAAGTTTACATGTTATTGATGTTGAAACTTATCCTATTTTTTCATGTAACAACAAATGCATGGACAGGAGAAGATTCGTTTATCTGAGGATGATCCTCTTGGTGCATTGCAACAACTTTAAGACATGATTGCAAATGAGCCTATGAAGGTTGAATATGATGCTAATGTATTTGGGAGAGGCTCTGAGGTCCCATCATACCTGCATACCAAGATGTCAGGGAGCTTGCGTCGGGACAGAAAACAAATTGAATATACAAATAATTCAGGCTATGATGATGTAATCTCAATGGTAATTATTTATATAAAATTGATTTATATATCAAGTATACTTATATCAAAGGTAATTTTTGATTTCCGGTATATGTTTGGTGTAAGTAACAACTTGGGGTACAATGATGTCTATGGCTTTATTGATCCCCAAGTCACTCACGAACCAAATAATTTTGATGAAATCACAACATATCTCATCAGCAGCTTTGCAAGGGGGAAGGACATATATTTTATTCCTTATATATCTAGGTAAGTGAAGTTTTTTAACTTCAAAGTTCCATATGTGATTTTAACATATAACAATTAAGTTGTTATCAATTTCAAGCACCATTGGCAGCTACTTATTATTTCCATACCGGAGAGCTATGTTGTGTGGTTCTGCTCATGCACAAGTCTCCTCCCAAACTCTCAGACAGCAGTTGATTGGTACGCCCCTCAATGTTTGAACTTTCTTTGTTATATAAATGAATGCTAAAGCCTTTTTTTTTTTATAGTTCTATTGCAGCACATATGATGTTGGTTGGGAGATCAACTGCTAACGGTAGAAAGTTTGCATGGGTTGCTCTCAAGGTTGGCATATGTGTCAAGCCATACTTTTCTTATAGTTGTTTTGTTTTAATGATTTTCACTAACTATTTACAACTGCGATGATATATTAGTATAACAGACAAAGTTGGTCATATGAGTACGAATACTACGTAACGTATTGATGACCCACACTATTCGTGCCCATATCACAAGAGGTTGGGAAACGGTAATATTTAGATTTAATGAATTTTACTTTTCTCCATCATTTGGAATTCATATCCACTAATTAATATCATGTGTCTTGTGTAGAGATTCAAGACTCCTACTCCACTTCCTGAGAAGCCACTTACGTACCTAAGGAAGACACTTGCAAAATATTTAATTAGATTATTCAATAGTTCATAGTTATTAGGATTTTAAAATACATTAGCACATGTTGATTTATTGTTATTAGACTTTGTACATTATGCTTTAAACATTATGTGATGTAAATATTGACTATTGTGTTGAATCTGTGTTGTTATTATATTGTTTGATATGCAGATCTGTTTTTGTGATAATGGATATCACAAAAACATACCTGCTATTAAAAAAATTGCAAGAGAATAAGCCTTGGTTGTAGCCAAAACCGAGGTAGAAAACCTATGTATGGCTTAGGTTCAACCACAACCGATGCCATAGGGTGCACGACAACTTTTTTTTTTTAAAAATAGGGCTTTGGCAGCGGTTGAAGCTAGAACCGTCACCATAAGTCCATGTTATTACCTCGGTTCAACCAAGGTAATAACCCCTCCCCCCTCTTTTTTTTTTCTTCCGTACTAGTTCGATTGTTGATGAACTGAGGCAGTACCCTTTGAGATATTACCTCGGTTGGAATCGAGGCCAAAAGTTCCCCACCTTTTTACCTCGTCAAGATATGCCTCGGTTTGACAATCGAAGCGTATTGTAAAAAACAACCCTGGTCGTTTCCTTTCGCTACACTAGTGGCTTCTAACCTTGCTACTAAAGCATAAACTTTTGTGTAGTCAATTCCTTCTTTACATATCTAGGTCCGACTGATTTCTTTTTCATCTTTTCAAACTCGAAACATTATGATCTGAAATGTTCAGGTTTGTTGCACTTATAACAAACAATTATGTCTTCCAATCGTCTGTCTTTAGGATTGTTCTTTGAGACAGATCCAAAACATATGCTCTTGAACACCATGCCTCTTCTTTTCCTCCACACAGATTGAAGCTTTCTCGAAATCAATGAGAGCTCCTCTTCATCGTTTTCGTTCATGAAGTCTTGTTCATTGTCTGACTCCTCGGAGGATTCATTAGTTTTGAGAGCTTTGGTGGACGTCTTCTTTACAGATTTGAACATGATACTTTTCTCCTTTTTGATAGAACCATCTTATAGGACTTCGAGCTCATTAGTTCTCCTTAGATGCGGTAAATAACCCCTAAGGATGCTATTTCATCATACTTGAGATCGAAACATTAGCGCCTTTTTTAGTAAACGAAAATGATTTTTCTTAATTTTTCATTGAAGATGAATTGTCTTTCCCCTTGTACCTCAATAAGGAGACTTATGTTATGGTACACTCAATAGTAAAAAAGAATGTTATTTAAAAGTCAAGAAAAAAAAATTTAAATACTATTTTTGTCTTCAACTCAATGATATGTCTTTTAATAATAAAATTGTGACGAAACTCTGTATATTCCTAAAAGGTGGTAATCAATCCCTAACAATGTTATTTAAACCTAACTTGTAGTGCATAGTCGCAAAGGAATGTCCACTACAATAATATGTGCGTCCAAGAAAGTACTTCACCGATTTCAGTCAAGAAACGGAGAAAGAAAATACATATTAGACGCGCCAAAAAAGCATTATACATTACTAGTTAATAAAGTCGAATATTTCCAAGGCTACAGCTGAATAACAACTCAAAAGATTTAGTTTGTGGTGAAAGAGACAAAATTAGAAAGTATAAGACAAAACTGAATGAACTCACATAAAGCCTTGCAGCATAGGACAGGGAGGAAAATTAATCGAAAAGGATATGTATATTTTATTGTTTATTGTGATGTGATAACGAGGAAGGGGTTTTGGGGCATTGAACCGTAGTTGTTGCTTGAAATGCAAGACGTTAAATAAAGGGTTCTTAGATGTTATGTCATTTTATGCTTTTAGGCCAATATGATATCCAATGGGATATGATACATGAAGAGTCACCCTTTTACCCAGAACATGAAAAGGACAAGTAGCTGTGACCTTTGCTCAGGTAAGGTGGGTCAAATGGACTCCACTTGCCAACCAGCAATTAAGACATTTCCAGACTTTCTCCTATTTGGTGCCATGTATTCCATTACTTTCGATTCCAAGGATTGCAAAAACATACTTAATTGCCCCACTCACATCCAATTCACATTTATCAATTTTCATTCATTAATTCTTCTATTATCCACTGTTCAGACTTCAGAACTTCTCTACAACATTTAGAAATATTACTTATTTTTAAAAATAAAAACAAACGGCAACAAAACATTGATTAGAAAAAGAAAAATAATTACATTACCTTTTGTTGAGGTTGTATCAATTGTCGCCACATTTAATCTTTATGAATTAAAAGTATTAATACGGCATTTTATGCTATTAGTGGCACAAGAAACTGAAATATTATTAAAATAAAAAATTGAATTTAAACGTCGTTTAAAAGAGATAAGAAGAAAGCAAAGTATATCAAGGAAAGACGTAAAAAATGCATTTACATGTAATGACTTCAATAATCTAAATTTAGAATACTAGAAAGAATACTTCGGTCAACAACAGTCGTATACAATAACATCTCGATTTATAATGAGTAGTTAAAAATAATCATCTATAACAGTCTTACTTCATCAGAATTATCTTCCATAAAAATAAGAATTTATAAGTTAATCTTGCATAAGATAATGAAATAGAAAGAGGTAAACAAAATATAAAAAAGGAATATACAGAAATAGCATTTGGGTCATTTATTATGCTAAAACTGGGGATATTTATGGTGACGTAAACTTATAAAAAAAAACCCACCATTTAATGAATATGATTCAAATGGTTGGAAGTTGATTAAAGAAGTTGCAAGTTTCCCATAGGAGACCTCAAATGCAGCGCAATGGGATAGGGACAAATAGCAATAAATTAAAGAGCACTGTCTTTGAATTTTGTCACGACGCTGCACTGGGAAGCAGAAACGAGAAGGAAAAAAATAGGACAAATTATCGTGCAGTACAAACCCAATCCTTGCTATTCTGGGATTACCATAAGATTAGTGTGGGGCACACTCAACACATAGCCACTTTCTCTTAAAAACCCTGCTCTGTGCTTTTTCCTCATTCAAGTAAACCAAAAAATCACCTCTATCTGCACCACCTAATCCAACCAAATATCACATTTTCCTCCACAATATCTTGTGCAAAACACCAACACCAATTGCTCCATATATTATATAATACTATAACAGTAACACTCATAAACCTCAAAATAAATCATTACATTGTTCTACCAAACTCGGTACATAGATACATAGCAGCAGCAACAAAGCAGAGGGTGATAATCTACAAAACTAGGAGGTTTTTCTTCCCTGTAAAGTGTATTAAGTTGCAATCCCAGATTTTAACTCCATAGTAATATTTAGAATAATTGATAATCATAATAGCAAAATACCAAAAAGTTGTTTTCTTTCGTGAGACGGTTTTTCGTTTTCATCTCAGAGAACCTCCTCACCCTCTCGCAACTCCTTCAGTACAGCGGGGACCTCTGGGGGTTCCCTTTCCTCCGGTTCATCAGACCCGCCGAGATTTCCGACACAGGCGAACACGCCGGTCGGCACGGTGGCCGGAAACCAGAGCCTCCGGTTCTCTTCTTCCTCACAATCTCAGTGGTTGCAGTGCAAGCCAGGGTGGTCCTGCAATCCACCCCACCATACCCTCCGGAGCCTGACGAGGTTCTAGCCGAACCGGCCGGTTCCAGAACCGAGTCAGGGGTCATCAGACCATCGTCGAGCCCACATTCCGGTAGCGGCAAGTAGTTGCACTCGAAGAGGTAACCAGAGAGAGAACCCTTAGTTCTGACCAGATAATTGATCTGTGAGAAAAACAATACAGGTATATGAATGAGAAAAGAGAAAAAGTATATATATATATATATATATATATATATATATATAAATAATATGCACAAAAAAGGGTGGGAATGCATTATGTATTATGGAACAATAATGATAACGTTGGTAAGGGGGTGAAATTAGGAGTGATAAAAGAGGACCTTGCAAGAAAGGGAGCAGAAATGGTATGGGTCTTGCAGACTTCTGTCACAGGTGCTGCAGAAATTGCCGGAGCCTCTGAAGTTCCTTGCCTGTGGCCTTTGGTTTAAAAATACCACTTTTGCACTGTTGGTCGTGTAGGACTGTAGAGAGAGAAAGTAACCATGTGGGTGTGAGTGATAGAGCTTAAAACATTTCACAAAGCGAACCATCCCTTTGTGCAACTTCCACCCACTATCATGTAAGACAGACATGAAAGGAAAAAAAAACATATACTGAAATTCTAACTTGACAAATTGCTCTTCTTAATTAGCTTGCTTGAAACACCAGGTTGAGGTTGAAGTTGCACGAAGGAAATTAGACACCGCCAGAATTCTTTTAATTGTGTTTTAATGAAACTTTATAACCTTGCTCAATTATGCCGAATGAACTGAACCTGTATTTGAAAATTAAAGGGAAAAAGAAAGGTAAAAACATACTTGAACTGAAGTGCAGTCAATTAATTTTGCAGCGTCATCCAACCTTATAACATCATGATACACATATCTTCTAATCTGCAAAAGGGTGTAAAGAGAAGTTAAAAGAATTCATGAGAGGATTTGTTTTGGGTGTGTTGATGTTTGTTTGCATCTTCTGTGTAACGCAGTGAACAACAGTACCTGCAAGAGTCTATGAGAGCGGTGAGGGGACAAACAGTGAGGGCAGAGACTGATGCAACAATCCAAGCAATAGACGTTCTTCTCGTTCTTCTTTGCCTCCTCGTGAATTATGCAAGCGTTGTAGAACTTCTCGGTGAGGAGGAGTTGAAGCCAAGAAGGAGCATGAGAGGAGGAAGAAACGAACTGCACGGGTGACTGAAAGAAGGAATTGAGTTAAAATAAACAGAAAATGGAAGAAGAAAGAGAAGAAAAGAGGAAGCAAGGAAAGAAGCAAAGTGAGAAAGGCAAAGAGGAAGAAAGGGAATCGACCATGATAATTTTTTTCCCTTTGCAATTTGAATTTTGATGAGTGTTTGCGTCAGGAGAGTGAAGCGAAGTAAGTTGAAAAGAGGCATAAAAATGGTATAGCTAAAGAAGAAAGCAGTGAGGTGTGTGAAAGGTCATTAAATTGAAGCATAAATATGTGTATGAGTAGTGTGTAGTATGTATGTACCCACCATTGTTTTTGGTAGTGAAATTTGAATTTGCGTGTGTGAGTGTGTCAGGGGGAGAAGAAGGAAAAAGAATTGGGTGAGTGAGTAGTGTGCGATGGTTATGTAGAAGAGTGAGGCAGTGGAGGCATGATCAGAGTAAGTAAAAACTGGATTTTGAAAAAGGAAGAGAGAGAAAGAGAGAGTAAAAGGAAACGGCGCTTGGCAGCTGAAGATACAAATATTACTGTTACCAAGAAAGAATAGGCGAGAAGGAAAGAAAGGATGTGGTATGGTGAGGAATGGTGGGGAGGGTAGCCACAATTAAAGACAATTCAGTCGTACACTACACTTAATTGCTCCACAAGCTTCATCAAATAACTCATCAAAATCTTCCAAATAAATATATATTATTATCACATCAAAACAATTTACAGTGCCTTTTCGATTTGTTTTACCGTTTATTAAATAATTTACTGTTATTCTTCCTTATTTTCTGACTATTATGATAACGAAAATGCCTTTGCGTTCTGGGAAACCACTCAGTTTTGATTTTCGTGATTTTCGTTATTGTAAGAAAAATTGTTCTCGGTTTAATGAAATTCAATGTTTTTTTTTTATTTTTAAGCCTTAGTATTATATATATTAATTAACTTCTTATGTATTGAATAAAAACTTAAATGATCATTTCGATTAATAAATAATTGTTCACATATTGTTACGTAAAAAAGTTTAATTTGAGAACTAAAATGAAAAGTTTTTAGAATAAAAGAAAAGAAAAATTTAAAACGGTAATTTCAATTTTTTAGAGATAAAAAATAAGGAAAAAAGTTATAGAAACCAAAATTATGGCTAGTTAATTTTACTATGACTAGAAACATATATAAGTTTTAATTGTATAAGTAATTATTATTGTTCTTAATTAGGATTTAAAATAATTTTTTTCGTATTAAAAGTGAATTACACAACTAAATAACATTTGCTATAAGTAAAAGTAGAAAAAGTAACCAATATCACACTAAAATATGACAGTTATTTTGGATTATTTTTATAGAATACTTCTCATAAGTAAGAAGAATATTAATTACATTCCAAAAAAATTGAAAGATAAATAGCAATTAACTTTTATGTGAATAAATACATTTAACGATAATTAATTAGAAAATAAACATGGACAGCTGGGAATTTAACCATTTTAATATTTATCTTTTAATTGTCAAATTTATATTTCTTTAATATATTTTAACAGTCTATATTTGAGAAGATTAATAATTATTAAATATTGAATTCAATCAACTATTAAATAATTTCCATGTTATGTATACAAAATATTTTACAGAACTAAAATATATTAAGTATGAATATAAAATTTAATAATAGGAATCAATTATTAGTTAGCAAAACAAAATTTGTGTCAGATACAACTGTTAACATAATTATTATAAAGTGAATAAATTTGTCATGCATATTATTAAAAAAATAATAGTGCAAAGTTTATTTAGCTTGCTATTACCTATTTAGGTTTATTTTTATCCTTTATATTATTTTGACATGAAAATATCTCGTCAGTATAATTAAAATCAAATAACCAACATTAGGTTCACAGAAGTAGAATCAAACTTTCCATACAATAAGTAGAATATTAGACTGAAATCCCACGAAATAAAGTATCAAATACCAAACAAACGTAATTTAAAAGAAAAATCATAAAATTCTAGATTTATGATTTAGATTACCTATTCATAATATTATAAGAAAAATAGCTATATCTATGTAATTATAAATAATCAAAATCATTACTCTTTTGATTACAGAGTCTACAATTAATTTAAAAATAATAATAATCATGTTTTAGTTGTTCAGGATGATAAATTAAGATACTTTCTAATATCAGAAAGCAACATTGAAGTACTAACATACTATATTATTAAATAATATAATATATTAAACAGTTAAAACTATTTTACTACCAATAATAATAATAATAATTGTATTATTATAGAAAAATATAATATTTTATAATTTTGTAAATATAGCTCCAGCAATAATAACAGTATTAATCCCGACGTGATTTAAACAATGAAAATATTTGTTATTTAAAAAACAAAAAATAAAATGGGTAAGCATAAAATAATGAAGGATAATGGAATCAAAATCGCAACTTTCTTTTTGCATTGTTGTTTACTAAGAGCCCGTGTCCCGAAAACCCTAAAAACCCTAACCAAATGGTTGTCTTGCTGGCGCGTTCTCTCTCTCTCTCTCTCCGTGCTAAGTGCTAAATGACAAGACAAGAAACAGTGACTTTTCTCAGTTATCGGTAGAAAATGGTTGAAAAAGTGCCCTGTGTGAATAGGGCTTAAAATGACCATATTCGTAATGACAATTGTACCCACCACCATCTGTATCGCTTCATACTTCAACATAATTTACTCTAATTAAATAGCTTCATGTCTATTTATTTTCCATAACTTGGTTTAATTATGTAGGTTCATGTCTATTTATTCGGTATTTTTTTCAATGAATTGGTGTGAAAAATTGAATTTTTCCTACAAATAATCTATTTTTTAAATACAATATTACATATAGACCCAGTGACGATAATTTTTCAAATCAGCCTATTCAATGTATATGGTCAGAATTTGGACTTGAATTCTTCTCACATTTTTTTTTCACACCAATAATCTTTATTTTAAATAGTTACTTTTAAAAATAAAAATAAAATAGTCACCATTTCATTTAAAACTTAAATAAAAGAAAATTCATGTTTTTATAGTTTTATTAATTTATAAAATTAAAACATAATAAAATAAAAGTTTTGAAATTATTTACACAGTCAAATTTTCATTATTTATTGTTGAGGATTTTAACTTAATACATATACGACTTCCATATAAATATATGAACATCACAAATAAAAATTACAACCACAAAAGTGAACATAAGAAAGTAGAACATTTTAGTTTTAAAAATAAATTTTGAAAGTGCTTAAAATAAAAAATTGTTTGAAAATTAACAATTTTTTATCAGAAATCTTTTCTTTCATTAAAAGTAAAACATACAAAAATATACGTTAAGCCTCGAAGAGAGATTTGAGTAATAAGTGAATAAATTTAAAAATCTTTTTTTTTTCTAAATCACCTTCACACGTTTCAATAGTCATTCAAAAATATAAATAATTTAAAATAATCTATTAATGATCTAACGAACCTTACTAATCTTCTATCCGAGCTTGATTAGTCTCAAAAAGCCTTAGAATATTGGTGAATCATCTATGGGTAAAAGAAATACATATTTATAAAGAATTTCCTTTTTCTTTCCTAAACAAAGTGGTAAATGTTGACCATTTTCATCTAATTGAAACCTGGGAAGCAAACAATAGGCAATGAACACAAGAAAAGGAAAATAAAACACTTTAAAAAGGAGAACAAAAACTTAAAGATTCAACTTGAAGATTCTACTAATCCTATTACTCAGGTTGCTAGACAACTAATTATTTTACTAAGACAAGTTTATGGAGGACCATTAAGAGGACATATTGGACCACTCATAAGAGTAATGACAAAGATGATTTGAAAGAGGAAGATGGAGCTCCAAGAACTCTACTTTTGTAGAGGATCAACTACTAAACTCTTCTTTTCTCTTAAACATCACTTCAAGTGAAAAACATTATGTGAATATCTCTTTTGTCTCTAATGTCCACTTATGATATTTTAATCTGAAGCTTGTAGATGTGTGTAGAGTACGTTATCTGCAAAGAATAAAGTAGATTGTGCATGCAGTAGACATGTCTTTCCTCTTATCACTTTTGTTGTTTTTGAACGTTGAACATTTAATGACATTTAATGATTGCTCAAAACAACAAAGTTTTTTTTCTACCGTTAAGGTAGCGTTTAACAATTTAGCTTTTCTTCTAAAGATACCAGGCGTTGACTAAAGACTTCATCGTTGAACGAAGCAATAGTTTAGCTCATGGTATCGTTTAGACTAATGTAAACACTTTTTGTGACTTTGCCTTTTTAGAGCAACAACGTTTAACATTGTTTGTGTTTTCTTTGGTGCTTTAAGTTTTAGTCTTTTACAGTGTTTTTGTCAACAACATTGTCTTGACATTGCTTCGTTTTCCCAAGAGTTAAACTGAATACTCTTGGGTATAGTAAGTTGTATGCGTTTAACTTCAACTCTCTTAGACGCTTTGACTTAACAGTCGTTTAACATAACGTCTAGGTGTTTTGACTTAGTTGTTTTTTCGTTTCCTAAAATCCTAAATCTTTTTTTAAGGTTTTTCTATGTTGGTGATTTTGAACCCAACTCTTATGTTTCTTCCTATGGTATTTTCAAATTATTATTTCGTTTAATGTAATTTGGTTAAACTTCAAAACATGAGAACATTTAGATGTATAGATGATTTTGTCTTAACACAAGAGATAGTGAATAATGCTCTTAGACAACATGCTTCATTTGAATAAATGACTATCATTTATTTAGAAGATTTTCTAAATGAATCCAATAAGAGATTTTACAATTTATTGGTAAAGGCAAATGAACCTGTATTTGAAAGGGCAATAAAGTAAAAAATGCCAATATGTATTAGACTTTTGGCTTGCAAATCAAATTAGAACGTTCCTAAATGATGCTTGAACTTTTTTTCGAAAATCTTTTTAGATGTAACACCACCAAATACTTCTTTGCCAAACAATTATTATGAAGACAATAGATTAGTTTCAAAGTTGGGATTTAAGGCTAAGAAGATTAATTTTTGTTTGAATGGTTGTATGCTTTTTTATGACAATGATAGTGGCAAAAATGATGCGTCATTGCTTCAATGTAAATTTTATGGGCTACCTCGATATCATACAATCCATCCAGGACAATGGAAGAAAAAATAATTCCATTGAAGTCAATATTCTACTCACCTATAATTCTAGGATTACAAATAACATTTGCTTATATAAAAAAATCATGACATATGACTTGGCATGATGAGAAAAAAACACATGGAATGCTACGTCATCCATTTGATTGTGAAGCCCGAAAACACTTTGATCAAAAGCATCCATCCTTCTTCAGTGATCCCCGTAACGTTCAAGTTGGTCTATGTTTGGATGGATTTATTTCGTACATTACGACATTGTCATCACCATATTGTTGTTGGTATGTGATTGCTATTCCAAACAATCTTCCACTTAAGATATGTGCCAATAAGGGGACCCTAGTCTCTACTATATTGGTTATTGAAATGGTTTAATCTTTCTTGCACAACAAAATGGCATAACAAGTGTTTAAATCATTAACATGTTAAGT